ACAAAAAAAAAAAAAAATCCTTCAGAGGTCAGTAGGTGGCGTGGTGGTGAAGGCAGCCAGATTCCGCGTGACCACCTGTGCAGTTCGAATGTGGACCCAGTGACTTGAAAACCACGCTGGGTGTGTGTGCGTACACGGCCAAATCCTGAGAGAATGGAGGAGGGGTGCGGTGGCCCTGCCCGCTGCGGGGTGATTTCTCACTTTGTCCCTGTCCAGCAAGCACACGAGCCTGCTAGTGACTTACAAGGAAAAAGAATCTTCAGGATAAAAAGAGAAAGCTAGACGTAAAGTGTGTATTATAGGAACCAATCTGTATGCAACTTTTTTTGTTTGTTTGTTTGTAGAGGTTTTTGCTATAGGGCGTGTGTGCTCGCCAGAAAGAGAGAGACAGAGAGAAATCACCTCCCAGGGGGGACGGCCATGCCACAGTCCCTTCTCCTCCATTCTCCTCTTGGGATCTTGGGCACGCATGCACATGCGCCTGGCGTGAGTTTAAGCCACTGGGTCCGGGACTTGAACAGCGGTCGGAGTCCAGCGATGTAACCACTACGCCATCTGCTGGCCCCTTGTATGCATCTTTAATAGCAGATAGATATGCAGGTATATGCAAGCTTTTCTGGAAACAAATAGAAGCTGTTGATGAGAGATGCTTTGGAAGGAAGGTATTGAGGGAAGAGTTTATTCTGGGACCTTTCTGCCGGGGTTAAGATTTTGGAGTTGGGGTGGAGGTGGCGTGGTACATAGACACTGGATTCCCACACGGCCAACCACAGTTTGAGTCCCGGACCTGGCAGCTTGCTTTCTCTCTCTCTCTGTTCCTCTCTGGTCAAATTGAAATAAATAAATGAATAAAGTTAAATGAAAAATTTAAAAAAAGATTTTGGATCGGGACTGGCTCTTAACATGCTTCTGCCCCGTAGTTGTTTGGCTTTTATTTACTTTGTTCAAAGAGCAAGAGACAGCTCCCCAACAGGGCCTTGAACCAGAACCTCCCTGGAGAGCCCGCCTCTCGGAATGTCGCGCTTTACTGCTACACCCCCACCCGGTCCCCTTCTTGGCATTTTTTAATGAGTCATTTCCCAAACACAAGCCAAAGTCCAGGTTTGCTTGATTCAGAATTCAGCAGATAAAGTCAGGCTGAACGTGGAGAAAGTTTGGCCTACGGACTCTTTATTTTAAAAAATAAACTTATTTTGTTGAACTTTATTTATTTGTAATTTGACCAGAGATGGACAGAGCGAGAGCGAGAGAGAGAGGGAAAGTGAGAAAGCAAGTCACTAGGTCTGGACTCGAACCGTAGTTGGCTGTGTGGTTATGCAGTGCCCTTAACCATCACGCCACCTGCTGGTCTCAGGCTAACAGATGCTTAAACAAACAAGGAAGGGGGTTTCACCTGGAGGTGGACAGGCCAGGACGTGGAGGGCAGCTCACTGAGGAGCCCTGTTCTTGCTCCACTGTTCACTACACAAGGCTCTGTCCTCACAGTCACAAGATGGCTGCCATACTGCTACACATCACAGCCTACTCCAGACCAAAGGCCAGGCCAGACCGTTTCTTTAAAGGCTGTCCCGGAAGCCTACCACGTCCCACTGGCATCTCATTGGCTAGAGGTGAGCGAGGCAAGGAGTCCCAGCCCCGACACACACTCGGACACACAGCCACCTCCTGAGAACCTCGTTGGGACGCCGCCTCCGTGGTGTCACCTTCGGCCCGGAGGAACCTGTTCTCGGCCGTCGGAAACCCGGCACAACTCATGAGTCACGACCCAGACTGCTTTATAGGAGAGATTTATTTGAAGAAATATTACAACATATAAAAACTACATAAAGTCTTAATTTCCACTCGCTCGGTGGCAGATTTAATATAATGCATAATAAAAAACCTTTAAAACCCAGAATGCAAAGCACGGCACGGTGTGGTCACTAAGTCACTCGTCGAAAAGCAAACCTCACGGGACAGCTTCATGGCGGCCGGGGCCACAGACACCACGGACGACACACGGGGACCGACAGATGGCGACGGGGTCACACACAACGACGTCAGTGCATGTGGGGGTTCCTGGTGCCGGAGACGGCGGCCGGGCGGCCTAGTCCTCAGCAGCCTTCTCCTCCTTCACTCTCGCTGAAGCCAAATAACAGGGCGCCGGGTGAAGGGACGGCGTGACGCCGCAGCAGGCCACCGCGGCTCCGCAATCGGCCAACACATTCAGTGCCCAGGGGCCGACGAGCTCTAAGAGGGCAAAGCGCCCCCCCGGGCTGCCCAGACGGGGTTCCTAGACCCGGCCGCTCAGAGCAGGTGCCTGCCACGCCAGGCCCCCAAAGCAGGACAGGTGTGGCGGACAGACACGGGGCCTCAGCTGACAGTCCGCCTCTGCTCAGGTGTCTGCTCTGGGGGTGCCCCACTGCATCCCCATAGCCCTGGGCTCCTATCTAGGGTCACCCCACTGCCTCCCCACTGCGCCGGGCTCTGACACAGGCAGGTCACTGCCCCGCAGGACCCCCAGGGCGGTGCCGCACTGGACCCCAGCCCCAACCCGGGAGGAGCCGTACCTGAGGCACTCTCGCGGGCTTTGGCGGCCACGCAGAGCTTGATCTCCAGGCCGATGGCTTTAGCCAGGGGAGGCGGCACGGCGTTACCCACCTGCGGGAGGGGGGAGGGGATGGGGACCATCGCCCTGGGCTGGGGTTCCTCTCCCGGCTCCCAGGACACCACCCCAGGCCCCATCACTGCCCACAGACCCCCACATGCCATAGAAGGGGGGCGCTTTGAGGGGCTTTAGGGGAACTCAGAGATAAAGACCGGCACCACCGAGCTGGGTCAGCCTCCGACCACGGAGGACTGGGTGGGGAGCAGGGCTGAGGGCTGAGGGGCTCACTGAACCTAGGCCCTGGTGGCCCGCAGTGCGTCCCTACTCGGTGACCGCACATTTAACAAGGACACAGCCCACCCAGCCCCGGCCTGCTCAGGCCTGCTCCTGGCCCCCTCGGCCCCAGCTGCCCTCTGGGCCAGGTCCCTGGTGCTGGAACCCGGCCACGTGCTTGGTGGGCGGAGCCGGCCGGGGCTCTCCCGGGTGGAGACAGCTGCGTCGGGGCTGCACAGGGTGGAGATCCAGCCCACGGGGGAGGACCCCAGCTCACCTGCCGGTGCTTGTCCAGGATGTTGCCGAAGAGCCGGTAGGTGTCGGGGAAGCCCTGGGAACGGGCGCACTCCCGCACGCTCACCACGCGGTGCTGCTCGGGGTGCAGCACGCGGCCCTGGGGGGACAGGGGGTGCTTGCTCTCGGCCAGAGCTCGGCTTCCCTGTCGCGGGGCGGCGGGGGCGGGGGCGAGGCCCGGGGATCCCAAGGCGCCCCCCACCCCGCCCTACCTGCTTGCCCATGGGCTCGGGGGTGGGGGACGGCGGGCCG